CGAAGTAAGCTAGAGAAAAGAAAATATTTTTCTCAAATTGTCTCAAATCTCTGAAGATTTTTCCAATATATTCACTGAAAAAAATCCACATATAAGTACACCCATGTAGTTCAAACCTTGGTGTCCAAGGGTCAACTGCATTATATTACAAGATATTCAGTTATTCAACCCAAATTTTATTCAAAGTCATCAATGTTGTTTTCTTTCACCTTCATATCTATTACACCTTTTCATTTCTATTCTAGACTATCATTTCCAAATCCATTCACTTCTGTCTCTACTCCAACAATCACAGGCTAAACTAACACCAGAACTTGCTTAGTTTATTCCAACTGTCTAACTGATCTTCATCTGCACCTTCCATTTCCTTAATTCTAGAATGCATTCTCCAGATACAGAAACTAAAGCATCTTTCCAAAAATATTTAAAACATAATCATAAACCACCCACATAAATCCTTCCAACTGTTTCTCATGACCAAAGAATACAACTGAAGCTCCTCATTGTGGCCTTGTGTGAAGAGACACCTGCCTAGCTCAGTGACGTCACCACCTCCCTCTCATACGTGGCCCAGGCTGTCACCTCTGCACCCTGATATGGCGAGCTCACTTCTGGCCTTGGGACTTTGCAGATGTGGTTTTGCCCCATGTATCTCTGCACAGCTGACCACTTCTCAACCGACAAGCCTCAAAGAAAATGTCATCTCGTCAGAGGCATTCATCTCTCCTCACCTGATGTGGCTCCCTCAGCCCTCTCAATCTGCCCCTCAACCCTCTCAATCTGCCTCATATCCCTCTGTGTGTGTGTGTGTGTGTGTGTGTGTGTGTGTGTGTGTGTGTGTGCGCTTTAATTCACTTACTGTCTACTTCTTCAATACAATATAAGTTCTGAGAGAATAGGGACTTCATCTGTCTTATACACCTTGGCTCCACAGCACTGAACAAATATTTGGTGAACAGATGAATAAATGGTTTCCATTAGGAGGCAGTGACAAAACTTCAGCAAATAGGTGCCAGATTCTAGTAGAAAAGGTATCTGACATTTATGTCATGTTTTTAATACATACAAGTGTATTTAAAAACAAAAATCTACTTTTTCACCAGTGTGGACAAAAAGATTATTTTTCCTTTCAAAGTATAATTGTTCCCTGACCAACTGAAGCAACTCCTTACACTTTAAAAATAATGTCATTCCAAGTAAGTCAGAGAAAGACAAAACACCGTATGACTTTTTATATGTGGAATCTGGGGGGGAAAAAAGGTTCATAGATGCAGAGATACATAATGGTGGTTGCCAGAGGCAGGGAGCTGGAGGTGGGCAAAATGAGTGAAGGGAGTCAAAATAGATAAAATAAGTTAAGTCATGGTGATAAAATGCACAGCATGGTAACTACTGTTAATAATGCTGTATTACATATTTGAAAGTTACTAAAAGAATCAATCTTAAGGGCTCTTATCACAAGAAGAAAATCTTGTACCGTGTATGATGATGGATGTTGACTATAGACTGTGGTGGTGGTCATTTCATGATGTGTACAGGTGTCAGACTGTTAGGTTGTATATTTGAAACTACTGTAACATTGTATAACAATTACACCTCAATAAAAAAAATTGTCACTCCAGAAGCTGCCAGGAATTACATTTAAAATAACTTCCTTTTATCAACAGCTAACCTTGATTATACATGTCAGTAAAATTAAAACATCAATAAAAACAAAGTGACCAAAAAAGCACATATATTTAAATAAAAGCTTTATAGGCACAATAATTAGCTCAATTACTTGACAGGAGACTCTGGAAGGTATTTACATGAACTGTACTAGTTAAGAAAGCTATACGCCAGTTTATCCTATCTTGGTACCTAATAATTCAAGGGTCTGAACCTTAAATGTTTTAAAACATTAAAAATGTAAGGTTCAAACCACTTAACTCATGTCAAGTATCTACTCTTACCATTACCTTTCTGTTGAACTTCACTATAGATTGTTTCTTTCACTAATCAAAATTCATGCAATGGTTAATGTAGAGTGCAAAGTGTTCACTATTTGAAAAGATGTTAAAATTACAAACCATACCTCAAATACTTAACTATCCTGATTGAAGAAAAGTTATCTAAAATTTTATATGGATAGAAAAAAATATTTTTATTAAATGCTCTAAAAATATTCACTCCTTGTTTCAAATTCCAGAACCATGTAGTCATCTTGTCCTAATTCTTTTGTGTTATTTTAAGTTCAATATACTGATACAACTCTTGGCAGAGTCTTATTATTTGCCATGGTGAAATTGTTTCTATCTTTTCAGTAACACTAAATATCTTGATATGTATTCCCGGGGCATAATCACCTTAGGAATGGCTGTCTGGTAGCAAAGAAGAAAAGTAACACTCTAAAGCAGTTCAGATATAAAACATAAGGTAATCTCACTAGTTTTTCCTAATGGGGATATTGATCAGGTTTTGTCAAACTCCTCCTTTCTTGCCCTTTAGCCTTGGGGTCAGCCTTACATATTAATCACTTGTGTTAAGAGCTCGTCAGAGCTTCCTATTTTAAAATACTTGGAAAAGCAAAAATTTCTGTAATTTCAGAAGTGGCAGAGAGGTACACTAGTAGAGTCATGAAAACTAGCTTAGAGATAAAAGCTCAAGACTATACAATCCTCATTCAATTGGTCAACAAATACTTACGAGTAACCATCAAGTGTCAAGCAATATGGTATGTTGACTTCCCTCTTTCCATGTGTTACTGACTGATACTAGACCATTCTGATCACTTTGGGTAGGGACAAGAGGACTTGAAATTTAAAAAAATAAGAAAATACATGGTTTTCCCAATTTCTTATAGATTCGAATAAAATATTTTGGCACTTATTTTTACCTAAATATTTTTCATTAGACTCACTTCTAAAAATTGGTTATAATCTTAACTAGTCTCCATGTAACTAGCTTAAACCATTTTATTTTAGTAGGTTAACCTTCTCTTCTTAAAATAACTGAACAAAGAAAGAACTATTCATTGGAACACAGAGATGCCCTGATCCAGCAGGAGATAACCTACTTTTTGACTGCCATTTCAGATTAAGCAGCTTGAACCTTTTCATACCTAATTAGCATATATCCTCAGAAACTTAAGAAACATGACTCAGGCTTATAGTCAAAATTAAAGAACATTTCCCAATAGGCACAAGTTATTTATAAATGCACATTATTAAAAAATGATGTTTACAAGTTTTAAGTCATTTCACAGAGTCTATTACTGAAAGACATGGATCCTGAAGCTTTAAAAATGAGGCTTTAAAAATTTAAGAATACCAATAGAACTTTCTTGCAGGAATTCATAAAATGTCTACAAACTTCTAAATCTCAGAGTATAAACGTTAACTGTGCTTTTCTCTTAGATAATTTTGCACACTTTTCCTGGATTAGTCCAGCATTTGGAGGAGGGTTCTCCTATAAACATCATAAAGATGTTTATCAAACTTAAAACTAAAGGTCCTGAAGGTAGCAAAGAAGAAAAGTAACACTCTAAAGCAGTTCAGATATAAAACATAAGGTAATCTCACTAGTTTTTCCTAATGGGGATATTGATCAGGTTTTGTCAAACTCCTCCTTTCTTGCCCTTTAGCCTTGGGGTCAGCCTTACATATTAATCACTTGTGTTAAGAGCTCGTCAGAGCTTCCTATTTTAAAATACTTGGAAAAGCAAAAATTTCTGTAATTTCAGAAGTGGCAGAGAGGTACACTAGTAGAGTCATGAAAACTAGCTTAGAGATAAAAGCTCAAGACTATACAATCCTCATTCAATTGGTCAACAAATACTTACGAGTAACCATCAAGTGTCAAGCAATATGGTATGTTGACTTCCCTCTTTCCATGTGTTACTGACTGATACTAGACCATTCTGATCACTTTGGGTAGGGACAAGAGGACTTGAAATTTAAAAAAATAAGAAAATACATGGTTTTCCCAATTTCTTATAGATTCGAATAAAATATTTTGGCACTTATTTTTACCTAAATATTTTTCATTAGACTCACTTCTAAAAATTGGTTATAATCTTAACTAGTCTCCATGTAACTAGCTTAAACCATTTTATTTTAGTAGGTTAACCTTCTCTTCTTAAAATAACTGAACAAAGAAAGAACTATTCATTGGAACACAGAGATGCCCTGATCCAGCAGGAGATAACCTACTTTTTGACTGCCATTTCAGATTAAGCAGCTTGAACCTTTTCATACCTAATTAGCATATATCCTCAGAAACTTAAGAAACATGACTCAGGCTTATAGTCAAAATTAAAGAACATTTCCCAATAGGCACAAGTTATTTATAAATGCACATTATTAAAAAATGATGTTTACAAGTTTTAAGTCATTTCACAGAGTCTATTACTGAAAGACATGGATCCTGAAGCTTTAAAAATGAGGCTTTAAAAATTTAAGAATACCAATAGAACTTTCTTGCAGGAATTCATAAAATGTCTACAAACTTCTAAATCTCAGAGTATAAACGTTAACTGTGCTTTTCTCTTAGATAATTTTGCACACTTTTCCTGGATTAGTCCAGCATTTGGAGGAGGGTTCTCCTATAAACATCATAAAGATGTTTATCAAACTTAAAACTAAAGGTCCTGACCTTTAAAAAAACAAGGCAATAAATAACCAAGTCAAAGAATTACTAAAAACTATTATACATGATGTGGTTTAATTAAACTTAACCAGAAAACTATTCCCTTCAGCTATAAAAATAATTATACAACTGACTTTCCAAAAGTCAGTAAGAATTTGCTAATGAAAAAGCCACCAAAATCTGAAAATTTCTTCCATATTAAGAGATGAAAGTAAATAAACCTATCTTTCAAAACAAAATCTTGCATGGAAGCAAGGGGATGAGTTTAAGTAAGACGTTTTTTCATCGCTGTCTGTGAAAACACCTGTGTCTTCTTTAAGACCTCACACGCAGTGCCCCCACCTCACACAGCGTAGTCTGCGAGGTGCTTTTACCTTGATGTTCTGGGCCTCGACATTCGCCCCGGCTTCCAGGAGGAGACTGATGACTGTGGTGTTCCCTGCTAGGACTGCCCAGTGCAGAGCAGTGTTTTTGTGATACTTGTCACCAAGGTTAACTGAAACATTGAATGTTAAAAGCAATCTAGTTGGATCCACACTGAAAAGGAAACAAAAACACGACAACAACAACGACCCTAATTTCAGCTGTAGAAATGGCCACCGAATCTAGCCTGCGGCTGCACCTTCACAGCTCGCCCTGGAGCGCTCTGGTCCAGCCTACACTTAGCGACCTCACAACCCTGCGTAGGCAGCAGTCTGGAAAGGCATGGCGCACGTGCAACACCACGTGAGGTGGCACGGTCCCAAGAGGATGTACTTGGGCCTGACATTTTCTATTTTTGATCTAAGGATTAATGTCATTATATCTGTATGATTAAACAAACTTGACTTAAATACAGATTGTTTCAAAAACAACTTAAGGCAACTCAGTAATAAATTAAACTTGCCAGTAAGTAAATCGCATGAAAAAATCAGTTACTTTTAAAAAAGAAGGTAACCACTCCTCCCACTCTTAGAAATTGTTAAGAGTAATAGATGGACAGGATAGTATAATTACCAAGGTAAATGTAAGCATCCAAAAGGTAATTTGTGTTATATATTTTGTACTGATAATTAAAATTGTAAGTATCAGCAAGTGTAACAGTAACTGCTTTTTCTCATCATTTATTTTACATATTATTATGTTGAAAATAATCTTGACTAAATATTTTATAGTGGTTACATACCTATGTGTTCTGTAAGCTGCCCACATTAAAGGTGTCATTCCATTTTGATCCATCATATCTACATCCTGATAGGGTAAAATGAAAAAAGTCAGACAGTAAATTTCTAAGTTCCTTCCAAATTTACTTAGAAAAATATAATTTACACATCAAAGCCAGTAAGTGCCACTCAATCAAGGGTGATCTGCAAAACCTTTTCTTTCTTAACTTTAAAATAAAACTATTTATTGTTACTAAATACTTTAATGTGCATATAAATACTTGACACATATATTAAACATATACTTAACACTTTTAGTTTTCTTTTTAAGATGCTTTAATCAGCCTTTCAATGTTTTGCATTTAAAGATCTTGAACTATCTTTTATCTTTCAGCCACAAGGAATAGGTTAAATGACTTTAGTCTCTGAAAAACTTACACTAATTCATGATAGTAGAGAATAATGAATTCCTGTTTATTCTAGGCATGTCAAAAGAATAACAAGATTTTCTTTATAATGAACTCAAAATGAGGGTAGTTTTTCTATTATGCATGTACATTTTGGAAGTTAAATTAATTCTGCAAAGTTTGTGGTGAAAAGCAATGTGATAAAGCAATTCTTTGCCTTACTCCCCACCATTTTCACCTTTAGTAGCTTGCTATTTTGGTATTTACCTCCACATCTTAAAATAAGATGCTTGAATTGCTCCTTTTTTATTTTTCATTTTAGGCATTATCTTCTGAGACTCCTCAGCATGCAAAATGAGACTTTCTCCCTTTCTTCCCCCTGCTCCATATCACAAATATGCACCATCCTTTTCATTCCTCTTAAGGCATCTATTGTAATTCTGGGTCTATAAATATCTGATACTATTACCAGCAAAATAATGTAGTAAAGCATGATTACTTTCCTATTCAACTTTTTACTTTCCTTGGTACTGTCTTTTTTTCCCCTTTGCCTATTTTTTTTTAGCAATTACAACTACCACTTATCAACCAAAGGGTTTCCCTAGTTATCTAAATCTTTGTCAAGACATTCTGGACATTCCTAAAGAATCCTTAAAAGGGGGGGCCCCCAACCTTTCGGGGCGCTCCTCTCTGAGGTTGCCCGCACTTTCCAAGTGCATAACCTTTTAATTTTAAACTCTCTTTCAACCTTTCAGGGGTGCCTCTTCTCTAGGGCGGCCCACACTTTTGAAGAATATAACCTTTTAATCTTAAACTTTCTCCAACCTTTCAGGGTGCTTCTTCTTACTGAGGTTGCCTGCTGCACTTCTCTCTTTAAGTAATTTCAAATAAAGCTTTTACTCTGCTTCACTAAAAAAAAAAAAAAGACATTCTGATATATCAGGGCTTTCATTAGCTTCACTTCCCTAAAATTATCCCTCCTAACACACTCCAATCTGAAGTGGTTATCCTGTATGCCTGAAGCAAGTCTTAACTGAAACAGGAGTTCTCTGAGGACCAAAATTGTATTAAATTCATCTTTGTATTCTTAGTGCCCAGCAGAGTAGATGATCAAAAAACATTTGTTAAATTAAAAATCATGTTTACCTATTTACTCTTCTAGGCTTGGGAAAGGCACAGGCGAGTAAGACAAACATGGTTTTGAATTCCTAGCTCCACCACTTAATAGTTGTAAGACTGGCAAAATTACTTAAATGCTGAGCCTCAGGTTCCTCATCTAAAACTGAGGATTTCATAAGACCCTTGTGATGATTATATGGCATGCATGTAAAGCACCTAGTCCACAGCCTGGAAAGTAACAGACAGTCAAAAAGCATAAAGTTTCCCTTCTTCCCTTTCCCATCTCCCATTCCTGGATTACATGAAGTCAGCAGTTCTAATCCAAGTTGTGGATTGTCTAATTTACCAATCAATGGAGAGAAGACAGAGTTACAGTGAATGCACTGTAAACACTTCTCAACTCCATGCAGCAGTTTTCTGTGAGCCACTATAACTGATGGGAATATGACTCAAATGTGAACATTATCCAAGTGTACTGAGGCAGAAAGAAATGCTGAGAACCACTATATTAGACAAACTAGAGCACATATCCTTGGATGTTGTAAGTTTTAGTTCCTTGTCATGAATATTGTAATCAAATTTTATGCCTTAAACATTACAAATCCATTTCTGGATTTACTTACAAGTGTTATTTAGAACACCTTAATATTTCCAATATGCACGTTGAAAATTTTTTTTAAATCTCTGAAGAAATAACAAATTCCTTGTTTCTCATATGAGAGTTAAGTACTGTCACTTAATTTACTTCCTTCACTGTCCTGATTTCAAGAAAGCTCAACTAAATTTCTTAGTTGTCTTTTCATATCCTTTCAAAAAGAGATAATATTAAAAACATCAATATATAAAATTAAAAATGTGAAATTATGCCATATCTCAAGAGTACTAAAAGAAAATGAGATTCAACCTTTTCTCTCTTTGGGTCAGGATTTAAAACTTTGTACCTCTTTTCCAAGTTCAGCCTGGATGTATGGGCATTCTCTATGAGGAAGAATAAACACGCCCAGATCAGAAGCTCATGGGAACTCCATGATCAACAGGGCTCCAAAACTTAGCATTTTCCCCTTTTTCCTCTGAATATCATCCAAAAGAACTGGTAGTGAGCACTGTGTATATTTAACAGTATAACTAAAACGAAACAATTGTGAAGAAATGAGTGACAAACTGAACATGTTTTATGTCCTAAGAATGTAAAATTGATACAATTAACAAAAAAAATGGGGGAAAAAATGGAAAAAGGTTGAAAAGAAAGTATGGTACATGCCTACTCTGTAATACTGAAAAATCAAAGGGTATTATTACAACTAAAAAATCAAGTAATAGAAATGCAGTTGTATTTATGAGAAGTAACACTAAGAAAAATATTATTGATTGAAGTCAGTGCAAGACAAGGAGAAAGAATAAAATTACACTGATTATTATTACTTATAATTGAGAAGGAATCAGAACTAATAAAATGTGAGCAAACATCTGATTGAAGTGAGAGAGAGAAAGAGAAGTATGTAACTATATGATGAAAGGTCTTACCAAGCAAAAGAAAAGAAGCATAAAATCGTAAGACAACGACATAGCAAAGCTGTTTAGGGAACAGCAGTTAAGACTGGTGTGGGCAAAGCTCAGGAAAGGAGGGGGAGATAGCACATGAGTTCCAGAAGCCAGAGCAAGGCTCTGGAGCCCAAAGCATGGTGTGATGCACAGTAGAGGGGTTTTCCTTTACAATATATTAGTGTATACATGGAAAAAATACCAGAGAAATATATACTACACTGTCAAAGGATGTCATCTCCTCGGGGGGAGGAATAAAGGAAGAGGTAGTGTTTCCTTTTCTAGGTCATACTCTTCTATCACGTTTGAATATTTTACAATAAGCATGTGTTACTTCTGTTAAGGAAAAAAAAACTTTACTCATTAAAAAGCAAACTAATTACCTGTCCACATGTATTAGCACCATCATGCACATATTGTACAAAAGGTACTGTGACAAGCAGAAATTCCTACCCTTTAAGAACCATATAGCTTACATACTATGCCAGAGTTAAAAAGATTACTGAAACATCCAAACTCCAAAATCAGTAAGATAACAAAAAGATGTAAAAATTTACACCCTTTTTTTCACCCAGTTAAAAACTGAAAGAATAAAAATGAATGTGTACTATAAATATATATCTGCAATACAGAAGACCACTAAGGACACTGTCATGTGCTACAGCACCACCTACTGCTTCAACCCCCAGTCTAGAAACAAGGATAATCCCCTGTGGTAGTTGGTCTCCAAAGATAGCCCCCAATAAACCTCGCCTCCTGGTGCTCAGATCTCTGTGTTCCCACAGTGAACATGGGCTTGGCTTAACTGACAGAATGGAATACGTATGTTACTACGCCAGTTCAAGACCTAAAACTTAAAAAGGGCAGGCAGCCTCTGCTTTTGTTCATTTGGGAGCTCTGAGCTACCACACAAGAAGTCTAGTTCCATTCTCAGAGAAACCAAGTGGAGGGGTATTGTGGAGCAGTTCTGAGACTGCATGGAGGAAAAGAGGTTTAGCTGTCCTAGCATCTCAGCCGAACTAAGCCTTTAGCCATCGTAGCAGGTACAAGGTGAGTGAGTGAGTCTCCAGCACGGCTGAGACCCCAGCCATTATCACAAGGAAAGCCATCACCCAGCCAAGCCCAGTGAAGCCACAGAAATACAATAAATGATTGGTGTCATTCTAAAGCCATTAGATTTGGGGGCAGTCTGCTAACACAGTTAACAGACAGTAAACTCTTCCTTCCAGCAGTTAACAAATCTACGCCTCCTTTCCTAAATAAGCTGTAACGCATGACACACAGCTGTCATTGCTTGGCACAGCCAACAAGTACCTTAAAGGATTCATAAGATAAATACCATTAAATCTAAGTCGGCATTTTAAATCTAAGTCTAAATTTTAAATTAGAAGAAATATATTTTAATAGCTACGAATTAAAATCATGTGTCTTACACTCTTATGATGAGCTCCTTAGGTATAAAACTAATGTTTAAGTATAACCAGAGAAAACACATGGAAGAAAGCTGAGTGACATTACTTAAAAAAAATACATTTATTACAGTAACATATATAAACTGGCAATATTTAATGTGATTATAGTCACTACACATTCAGAAAAAATGAGGAAGAACCATTTAAATCATGAGCATTTTCCTGACATATAAGCAGTAGCAGTATTTTATACAGCAGAAACCGAGACGCTGATTTTAAAGAATTTATCCTCCTCTGGAGATAATTAATATAGAACATAGAGCATATTACTATATGCTCAAGAAAGTATAATAAATTCAGATGACATGTATTAAAAAGATTTAATTAAGGGAAAAAACAGATACCTAAATTTTCTCCCTTTCTTCTGGGATTCATCTCTAGCACTCTCAGAAATAAAAAAGCCTAACTTAATGGATCATTATCTGGCTCATGAGGGTCTTTCTTATTTTTCTGTTAACTACTTCAAAACAGCTCAATATCAAACTAACTACATATTTATTCTCTTCACTCATCAGGAAGTACTACTGAAATATCACTAGGTTGTTATGCTTGTTAACACCCATGTTACTCAACATTTAAACCACGAAGAACATCTGATTAAAATCCACACCAGTGATTATTTTTACCTGTCCTTTTGCTATGAGATAGGCAACAATGGAGGTGTGTCCAAACTGAGCAGCCAGGTGAATGCAGCTACATCCTTCTCCATCAATTAGTGAAGGGTCTGCACCGTATTTCATGAGTTGCACAACCATAGATAGATGGCCCTGTCTAAAACACAAAAGAATAAACATTTAAATATATAAAGTTATTTCTAACAGGATCCTCTGGAAAGATCTTTTTTAAAGTAGGGTAATGGTGGGAAAGATTATACACAATTTTTTTAGTTATTTTAAAATAGGTATATGTCAAGACACATTTAGGATTTTATGTTTCTTAAGTCTTAACAGTCTTTGAAAGTTTACAGAGATACAACTTCTTTAAATAGATAAAAAGTAGTTACCATATTCTATTACTCCTATCCCAATATAGTCTTAATTGTCCCATGAACTGGGTAACTTCTTTAATTATATATATATATATGCTGCAAAAGTATTACATTTACAAATCCAAAACAGTCTTATAACCAGGTGGATCAATATCATCATGGTTAATTCTCTAAGGACACTTTGGACAATAAATTTTACTTCCAGTTCAGGTAACACTAGACAGTAACATATTAGTACATTATTGATATTACCTATTGACATAATAGGCTCTCCCATTCATTTTAGCATATCATTAAAAAGAAGTTGCTTGGTTACAGAATAATAAAGGAATAAAAGGGAAAAAAATCCAGAAGCAAATTTAAACCTTGTGGCCCAGTGCAATGGAGTTGAATTTAGGTCTCCTCCAAGTTGATCCACAAAAAATTTTAAATTAGAAGAAATATATTTTAATAGCTACGAATTAAAATCATGTGTCTTACACTCTTATGATGAGCTCCTTAGGTATAAAACTAATGTTTAAGTATAACCAGAGAAAACACATGGAAGAAAGCTGAGTGACATTACTTAAAAAAAATACATTTATTACAGTAACATATATAAACTGGCAATATTTAATGTGATTATAGTCACTACACATTCAGAAAAAATGAGGAAGAACCATTTAAATCATGAGCATTTTCCTGACATATAAGCAGTAGCAGTATTTTATACAGCAGAAACCGAGACGCTGATTTTAAAGAATTTATCCTCCTCTGGAGATAATTAATATAGAACATAGAGCATATTACTATATGCTCAAGAAAGTATAATAAATTCAGATGACATGTATTAAAAAGATTTAATTAAGGGAAAAAACAGATACCTAAATTTTCTCCCTTTCTTCTGGGATTCATCTCTAGCACTCTCAGAAATAAAAAAGCCTAACTTAATGGATCATTATCTGGCTCATGAGGGTCTTTCTTATTTTTCTGTTAACTACTTCAAAACAGCTCAATATCAAACTAACTACATATTTATTCTCTTCACTCATCAGGAAGTACTACTGAAATATCACTAGGTTGTTATGCTTGTTAACACCCATGTTACTCAACATTTAAACCACGAAGAACATCTGATTAAAATCCACACCAGTGATTATTTTTACCTGTCCTTTTGCTATGAGATAGGCAACAATGGAGGTGTGTCCAAACTGAGCAGCCAGGTGAATGCAGCTACATCCTTCTCCATCAATTAGTGAAGGGTCTGCACCGTATTTCATGAGTTGCACAACCATAGATAGATGGCCCTGTCTAAAACACAAAAGAATAAACATTTAAATATATAAAGTTATTTCTAACAGGATCCTCTGGAAAGATCTTTTTTAAAGTAGGGTAATGGTGGGAAAGATTATACACAATTTTTTTAGTTATTTTAAAATAGGTATATGTCAAGACACATTTAGGATTTTATGTTTCTTAAGTCTTAACAGTCTTTGAAAGTTTACAGAGATACAACTTCTTTAAATAGATAAAAAGTAGTTACCATATTCTATTACTCCTATCCCAATATAGTCTTAATTGTCCCATGAACTGGGTAACTTCTTTAATTATATATATATATATGCTGCAAAAGTATTACATTTACAAATCCAAAACAGTCTTATAACCAGGTGGATCAATATCATCATGGTTAATTCTCTAAGGACACTTTGGACAATAAATTTTACTTCCAGTTCAGGTAACACTAGACAGTAACATATTAGTACATTATTGATATTACCTATTGACATAATAGGCTCTCCCATTCATTTTAGCATATCATTAAAAAGAAGTTGCTTGGTTACAGAATAATAAAGGAATAAAAGGGAAAAAAATCCAGAAGCAAATTTAAACCTTGTGGCCCAGTGCAATGGAGTTGAATTTAGGTCTCCTCCAAGTTGATCCACAATAGCACCTTTCGAAATATAGTATCTATAAGACAAATTTCAAATAATTTAGACAACTTTTTTTCAATTTTAAGAAATTACATGAAAAACAAAGAAAAATGTTTTCCATTTTAGATCTCATGCTAGATTAAGACTATGACAACATACACTCTTTTGTTATGGTCTTAAAATTATATTTAACAGAATTTTATATCAAACACAACTCTCTTTTGTTAGAAGTAAAAAGAAAATAGTTTCTTCAAAGTTACAGAAAGAAACAGCAAGGCCAAATAACAATCATGTAAAAAAAGGAGTCAGAGAACCACAAAGATCTGGATCAGATAGCCACAGCGGATAGAATCTCACAACCAAACAGTTACAGAATAGGCCACATACTTGGTCTACCATGGGCAGAAGATCAGTTTGAAATTATTGTGGATTAAATCAAACAATATACATACAAGAATTTTATGAACTGTAAAGTATAATATAAAGGTTCTTCATGATGCCTTATTTGTTAATGCCTTTAAAGCTGTGTTGCTTTTTAACAAAAGAGTAACCACGTTGCGTAGTGTGCCAATGTCATCACATCATTAAGATCCTTTGAAGTGAACAGGACTCAAGCTGCTTAACAATGCTTTCTTTGAGGCTGATCAATGAATGAATCCTGAACAGAAATGATTTCAAGGTATCTGATGGGCAATGCTTGGCGGATGTGTATTACTGAGGATCTTAAACTCTTCTGATTACTGCTTTAGAGCACTAATATATTCACTTTTAACCAATATAGTTCTTTCTAAACATTTAATATACTCACACATACATGCTTAATTTAGAAATTCTCTGCTTCATATAAATATTTGTTAAATTGGTATTTTAAAAGCATTATGCAATGAAGGGCCCAGCTCCATACTATCACGTAAAATAGTTTGAAGTAACTTAATAAAATACTTCCAGATTAAAATAATTCCAGTCCAAATATTAGGTAATAGTTGGAACATAAACATTTAAGTATTCCTAAATTGTTTTATAAGGTACCTGGTAGACATGATATAACACAGTTGAAAATGGTTCTTTTAGTTCAAAAAGAAGTATAAATAGCTCAGTAAAGAAAAGCTTTGATAGCAAATATTTTCTTTAAAATTCTGGGTTTTTTTAAAGCAATTTTATTATCTTCTCTATATTCAACATACATGTTCCTCAGAGTTGTATCTACTTACATTTTAAATCCTTGCTAGGGCTATGGAAATGAGTCATTTCCAAACTGGTTCTAAAGTATAATTTTTTTCCCACAAGGATAGGCGAACTTTTTTTTCTGCATGCTATAAAAGAATAGCTTCTATCAACTGTCATTGTAAGCTCCTGGAAGAGAAGTACTATATTTTTTAACATGTTATTCTTTGTAGTTCTGAGACCCTAAGCTCAAAACTACAAAATTCTAAGAAGATCACAGAATTCCTGTTTTTAAACTCAAGCCTCCCTGCAGTATTATGAGAAGATCATTATCAGGGAATGTTCTTGTAGGTACTAATGATCCGTAGGTTTTGAGAAGGGACCATCAGTGAACAAGAGATACCAACAAGTATTTCAAAAATGAAAAGCAAATAGCTAAAATTGAAATGTCTCTAGAGGGGGACACCAATAAGAAGCAAACCAGAATATATTTTAAAACCCTACAAAGGCTAAGGGATTAAAAACAACTGTTATCTCCAAATAAAGTAATAAGAAGCTGGGCTGTAAAGAGAACACTGGTTGAAAGCCAATATAGATTGCTAAAAATTTGTGTTCTAACATACATTCTCACTATTTAAGTAGTTAGCATCACAAATAGGCATTTGAGTAATATGGAAGCAATCAAGCAGCTGACAGTGATAAACAAGTATTCTATGTGCACATCTTAAAACGTGACTACTCAAATTTTTAATATTATTGTAGTAATAATCCAAACCCTTCTTTTATAGTCCAGGTTCATTCTTGCATCCCTAAACTTCATTGTATGATGGTGATTTCTGGCTTTAGTCTTTGGCTCATGTTGATTTTAACAGTCAACCATTCAGCATTTGCCAAAAAGTATATTCAGTGCACCTTTACCAGAGAAGTCTGAGCCTCAGGGAATTAAATCAGAGGAGCATATGAGACAACATACTGAAAGTGCAGCAATTCAACAAAGGTTTACATCTGAGCAACAGGAACAACTCCAGACCCCGTCCCTTACTCAGGTCAGCTGCGGCCAGATAAATACTCAGCCCTTCCCCACATACAGATTAGATTTTTCCCTTAGAGAAACTGAACAATCCAGAGAAAAACCTGTAGAAACAGAGATTTGGGACCTTCCAACAAAGATAAGCATTGTGTGCTTTCCATATGTCACAACTTCCAATCAGCTTTGTTACGTGTCTCTAAAATAGGAATGGTCAAATACAACCATAAAATTGAGGAAAGCTTCAAATATGGAAGGAAACCAAAATAAACAGATAATACATAGAGAAGAAAAACAAAATACAAAAAAAATTATAATTAATATCCTCCAAAAAAATAAGAAATTATATACCTATGCTATAAGAACAAAGTATTTTTTAAAAGCAAGGGGATGGGCAGGGGGACCCAGACATAAAGAATGCTTCAAAATTGAGAACACAATGGATAAAATTAGAAATTCAAGAGAAGAGTTAGAACATAAATTAAGAAAACCTCCCCCAAAGTGGAAGAGATAAAGAGATAAAAGGTAATTAGAATAAAGATAAGAAAAGAATGAATCTGGTTGTTTCCATTATCTGACAGGTAAGAATTTCTGAAAGAAAAAAACAGAAAATGAAAGTGAGGTGCTCTACAGGGCACAATGCAGAAATACTTTCCCTAAAAAGCAAGTTTCCAGATTAAAAGCAGCTGCTTACTGGTCATAAAGTGTAAAGTTGATTAACTAATCTCTATCAATGCACAATACCATAAACTTTCACAAGGTTGGAGATGAAGAAAAAAACTTACATGTTCCCAGGGAGAATAAGCCACACCCATAGTGTATTCTCAGCAAATTACAAGTTCCATAGTTTTAAATAAAGGCCCATATTCTTTAATAAAGCCTTGACTTGAAATCAAACCAAAATCAGAGACTTAACAAGCATTATTAGCTATTGTTAAAGAAGAATCTTAAGGTAACAGCAGACTGTTGAAGCAAAAGAGCCTGAGCTAACCCTTTCTATTTTATTAGGGTAAAAACTGAGAAACAGTTGAAAGACTTTCCACTTGAAAACATCAGTAATATAAGCAATCCAGGCTGCTTCTTTCCAAAATTACATTTACTTTGTATCATTAGGAAAGTGACCCAACTACTCTGCTTGCAGTTTATAATCCTGATGGAACATAACTGTCAGAAGAGACACTTCTCCAGGTCTCCTGTGCTCCCATGTCTTGAGGGTACAAGTAGAACACAAGGCCCTGACCACTCTTCACACAGGCCATTCCTCAGACCTGTCTGCATCAAGTAACCTTGAGAGATGGGGGAACGTCTCC